TCCTCCCTGGAGCTTTCCTTGAGGAGAAATCCCAACAATGGGGCTCAGCAGGTGACAGGCTCACTGCCTGCACCCTGTGGCCAGGCCACTCCTTTGGTTTGTGACCGTTCCCCTCGTGTCTCCCCTCTCTCAGCACTGCCCCCCAGGTGATGGGCACCAGCTCTCCAGCCCAGCAGGCAGAGAATGAAGCCAAGGCCAGTTCTGCCATCGCTATCGATGAGTCAGAGCCTGTCACCAACATCCAGATCCGGCTGGCCGACGGGGGAAGGCTGGTCCAGAAGTTCAACCACAACCACAGGTACAAGGGCTACAGGAAGCACAGGTCACTGGCTGGGAGGCCTGAATGATGCTGCAAACTCTGCACAGGCAGAGCAGGTGTTAAAAGTCCTGGCTGGGCTGTTGAAGGGAGTTCTGGACATCCTCCTGTATGGGTGAAGAGGAATGCAATTATTACAGAGTTTGAAGGCAGCCATTAACTTTTGGAAGGACAGGATTTGCTTTCCTAATAGTGATGGGTTATAGCCAGTGATGCTGCACCTGGGAGCTTTGTTGTTACCAGCAGAACAAATCTCTTCTGAGGGCTTTAGAAACTGTGAGATAATTAGAAACTTGGGTCAGGGATTCTGACACTCAGGTCAGACTTTTCTCCTAGGCTGGCTGGGGCACCAAGAGATACTCTTAGAGCAGTTCAGCTCCCTTGGATGAGCAAAGCTGACTTATATGACCTGCTGCTTCATTAGACTTCCCTCCTGAAGTCTTTCTCACCTGCCTGATCTCAGAGAGCATGGCCATTAGTTTATGCTCCGTAAGAGTATAAACACTTGCTCCATAAGAATATAAACCTTTTCTCCATAAGAGAATCAAGCATGATGCTAAAAGTTAGGAAAACCTTCGATGATTGGGTGCAAGAGACAAATTCAGTGTTGTAGCTGCTCTGGCAATTTGGGATCATCTGGGTTATCTGTGTGTGGTGAGTTCGGTCACTCAGAGCAGTGTCAATCAATTTGTTACTGTCATCTTGAGGGGTTCAGGACCTTCCATTCCAAGTAGCCACCTGCCAGCAGAGGTGCTCCAGTTGGGCAGCGTGAAAGAACATCTGGCTGAAGGTGTTGAGCCTGTGGAGCAGCTTGTGCTGTTTCACTAAACAGGGGCCTAAGGGAGGAGTGGGTTACACCAGAACTATCTGCCTGTGGCCTCTCTTACCTGAAAAGCAAGTGTAGCAACTGCAGGGGTGTGTGCTCTGGAAAGGGTCAGTTTGGGCTGTAGCCACAGGCTTTGACAGGCTGCTCAGTAACAGGCTCACCCTTGTGTGTTTGATCCCCTGGGACAGGATCCGCGACATCCGACTCTTCATAGTAGATGCCCGGCCAGTGATGGCTGCCACCAGCTTCGTCCTCATGACCACCTTCCCCAATAAAGAGCTGACTGATGAGAACCAGACCCTGAAAGAAGCCAACCTGCTCAACGCAGTCATCGTGCAGCGGTTGACATGAAGGACCCAGCTCTGGCCACGTGCCGGGCAGCACAGGCTCACAGCACTCGTAGCTCTGGGGTCTTAGGTCTTGGTTGGACTTTTTTTTCTCTTTAGTTGCATTTCCCCTGGGTTTTGTTGGGTTTTTTTTTGGGGGGGAGCTGTTTTGTTTTGTTTTTTTGGTGATGATCAGTGGACTTTAAAATAAATAAATGAAACAAATCAGTTTTGAAAGGAGCTGCAGCCCCTTGTGCCACCAGTTCTCCCACAGGAGTTCAGTTGCCACTGTGGGTTGTGTTACTGTGCTCTTCGGAGGAGAGGAGGGTCAGGGGAAGGGAGCTCCCAGGGAGCAGATTCCATCTGTGCCAATGGAGTGCTCCTCATACTCTTTATACTCTTCCTTCTCCTCCAGGGACCACTGCAAAGTACTCCCTTGATTTTCACACATTAAATATAAATATAGAAGAATGGTTGATGTGGTTGTCAGGATAATGGTTACACTGCTGTAAAAACCTTGTGGGATAAGATTTGGTGGAACAGCTGTTGTTCAGTGCAGGGAAAACTCCAACCTATGTGTCCACGTGCAGGATTTAACCCTCTTCCTGGGCTCTTCTGGGGAGAAAGTCCTGGCTTTCCTTCCCCAACTCTTGGGGCTGTCAGTGCAGCATCCCTGCTCTGCCTGTGCTTCCTCCAGCAGTCCTGCCTGGCTGCAGTTTGAATTTGCTGTGTTGCCTTTCCCTGAGCAGCCCTGCTGCTGAGGTTGTTTTTTGTTTTTTTTTTGCAAGAAGTCACCAAGCTGACTCAGCTTGAAGTGACTGAAAGTAAAAGGCAAGTAGAGTTTATGTTGCTGGAAAGCAAGTTTTAAGAGGTGAATTCTTGAGAAGATGGAAACAGTTCAGGTGGAAAAACTTGAGGCTGTAGTATCCTTTGCTTTAATTCCTCTGCTCTGCTAAGGACTAACAGAGCTGAACCCCTGGAATTCTCCAGCTCTGGTCTGTTCTGCTGTTTGTGTTTTGGGCTCAGGGCTTCACATCTTTCTTCCCTTTGAACAGAATCCTGTAGGTGGATTCCTTATGCCTGGACATGAAGGACTGGTAGTGCTGGTGTAGCATCAAGTGTATGAGTTGCTGGCTTTGTTGTGCCATGGGGCTTTCCACCAACCTGGGCTTTGGAGCAGGACTTGGAGCTGTGCTGCACCCTGGGCCAGATGTGGGCTAACTGGGAGCTGCACCAGCAGTATCTCTGCTGGATATCCTGGTGGGATCACTGTGGTACCAGGGGCTGGAGTGTGCCCTCTGCTTCCTGCCTTGCTCATGCTGGAGCCCTGCGGCTGCTGCGCTGTAAATCCACCCCTCTCAGTGCTCTGGAGCTTCCAGGTCCTCACCTTGGTGCCAGCAGAGGAAAACTAGGGATGTGCAGGCAGGGGAGGGCCAGCAGGTTGGACAGGTTCAGCACGAGGAACTCGCCTGGCTGCCCCTGTCACCACCAACCTGCAGGAGGAGATCCCAGACCTCAGCAAGGGCTCTTACAGTAGTTCCTCACCTGAGAGCAGCTGAAGTAATTCACCATTTTTAATTTCTAAGTCAGTATATAATGTGCGTAACAGCGAATTTGTAAATTATTGTGAAAATTGCCATTAAAAGCCCTCAAAACAGGAAAGCAGCGTTTGACCCTTTCTAGCAGTGGCTCCCATCTGGTGCTTTGGGTGATGTACCTGTGGTGTCTGCCCTCACCACCTGGGTTGCACTCTGAGCAGGCTTCCCAGTGCTGAGCTGTCCTCAGCTGAATGAGATTAAAGATCTCGGCAGCATTTTTAACAATCCTTTCTGACAGGTGAACTTGGGGTTCACCTGCTGCATCACTTGGTGTTGGATATGATGACCCCTTAGTCACTTGTGTGAACCAGTGCAGAGGGAATTCAGAAAGGGAATTTCCCTCAGAGCTAAATACAGTCACAACTGCCTTGTGGGAAGTCACGTTTTTAGTTCTTCACTAGAGGAGTTCTTATATCCTGATCTTCTCCACAGGTGCCATTTTGGGGATCTGGGATCTCCCGGAGTGCTGGCCAGGAT